CTCTCTCTCTCCGTTTCCATCTTTTGCTTTTCCTTATTTTTTTTTCGCTGTGATAAATCGGAGTGGCTTGCAATCTAGGTATGGAACTAATGAATCGTCTCGAATAGTTGCATTTTTTTCTATTTTGTTATTGGTAGTCTAAATGTGACAATCGTAACATGGATCTCGATACTGAGCTGATCAGTGTCAAACATGGATCACTCTCTTTATGTGCTTTTTGTTGACAATACTAAAATATACGCCGAAAACCCGAAAGTAATAAAAAGCCGTAATATCATACAGTCCCCTGTTTTTCATAAATTGAGCTTTATACACAGGTCGAATAATGACTTTGTCTATTGAGACAAGACAAGATATGTTAAGTTTTCCGCAGGTAGGTGACTTTATATTTTTTTCTTTATATTAAAAAAAATGATTGAGTTCAGCAAACTCAACAGTTGAGTGAGCATTCACTATTGATATATTCTTCTAGATCTAAAATTTGATTGGGGATGAGAAGAATACATTAATAACAGCGAGTGTTCACTCAACTGCTAAGTCTGCTAAATGCAGCAAAAGACATGGCTGCTGATATATTTATCAGTGAATCGCTGTGTGGCAAACTTGTGTGATGTACGAAAGAAATTTTCTCTTTTGCAATATCACAGATTTGAAATATTAAAGCTAAGACACGTATACGCATATCTTTGCTTTGAGAGATCAAATATTTCACTTATTTAAGAAATAATATTTAAGAAATAATATTTTTTCCTAATATGAATAGTTACACGTAGAATTTTCTATGTGCGCATTTACTATATTTTCGCAGTTAATTATATTGGTTCCCTCATTATAACTGTGCCTGCGTATAACGCGGTATTCATAATTAATTTCAACTACTGGAGAGAGAGATATAGGTAATACCTCTTGGAATCCCTAAATAGATACCTTAAACAACCTCAGGACGCTTAATATTATTATACAGTTATTTTGTACAATATATTATTGATACTCTCTTTGAATAGTTCAAAACTGGAAGCTTAATATAGCCATCAAATAATCAATAATATTGTGCAGTATCATGTTGTGTAATAATATGGGTCTAGGAGCTTTAAAGAGAATGTAAAGCAGCATTCTCGAGTTGTTGTGTGTATGCATGCAGCTACTCATACTCGTTCAGAACGTTCGCAAGAGGGATACACGGTGAATTGTTTGTAGATATTCCCTAGAACCCGTTAATTTTTCATCTCGATACATCTTTCTTAGAATACCGACGCGAAATATGTGGCGTAAAGGGATTTATAATAATCATTGTAACGTAATACGAGAGGTTGTATCACCTATTCTCATATTCTTAATTAATGTTAAACGGACATGTGTGTAAACTCATAGTGTAAAGTCCCTTATATAGACGCACGTAGACGTTTTCATTTATAACACTGAAGACTTATATTCATTGTATTCTTTCAGTTGTAAATTTCTACAAACACTCCATACACACTCTGTCCCTTTTTCTTTTTACATAGAATCTATCGCATTTATAAAAAAATGATGTTTGTTCTGTGATTCACAGAATAGCGGGGGTTGGAAGCCCCGTGTTTCACTTATAATATCTCTATTAAAACGGTTAGATAAAATAGTGAAGTATTTAAGATTTTAGATCTTTGTAGTTCTTTAGTATATAATATATTTGAATCTTATGAAACGTATATAATAAATGATATTTAAATCTTACGAAACGCTATGTTTAATATAAGAAACTATCGAGAGGCAGGGAATATATTCAGAGAGCACAAATGAGAATATAAAGGCTTATTGTTAAATTAATGCGAAACCGATGTCCATCAGTTATAGTCAACAGCGAGAGAGTGAGAGTGAGGGAGAGAAAGCGAAACAGAGAAACAAGACAAAGATCTGTACAAACTGTATAGTGCAAACAAAAATAAATATTCTTAAAGGTTATTAGTTAGTTATTTCGCATAAAACACCCTTTTTCACTTGTCCCACTATGTCATCATCCTTGTTTCTTCCCTTCTGTCATTGATATATTGGTATTGTTAAAAGTAATTTCTTAGAGAATATTCGTGATAACTTAAACAGACCATCTTGATAAATACATGTTGATAGTTGATTAATAAGTATCCGTATAATTTTGTGTTTCAGGTTTAAACTTCAAAGTGATGGTAATATACATAGCATTAATTTTTTGATTCTATTTGGATTTAATTATGATTCTGGGAATTCTGTAATATACACACAAATAAGAATGCGAAACAGAAAATGAATATGCGTAACAAAAAACGTTGAGTAGAAAAAAAAACTGGCTTGTAACATGTACATTGAATTAATAATATTGGCTATATGTTTCTCATGAAAAGTCATTAAAGTTTTAGAAAGTAATTTAGAAGTTACATATCTTAAATAATATACATTCGCTTATGAGCATATAATGTACATATATGAAAGAATTAGGTTTAACAGTCTTCTAATATATAAAAAAAAAGAAAGTTTAACAAAAGAATATTAATAATACAATAACAATACAGCAAGAACGTTAATAATACATGCTGCAATGATGTTCACAGTGTGCTAATGGACACTTGATGTGTGCTGGTTGCTTCACTCATGTCCTCGCAGATGCCAGGCTGCGGGATGAGATGGCAACATGTCCCAACTGCAGAATCGAAATCAGCAAAACCACCGCGTCACGAAATCTAGCAGTCGAAAAAGCCGTGTCTGAGTTACCTGCTGAATGTCAATATTGCGCGAAGGAATTCCCACGAAATTCCTTAGAACACCATGAAGAGGCTATGTGTGAGGAAAGGTAAATTCGTAAGGCAAAATTTATAATTTTATGAGGATTTCTCATTGACGTCTTTAACTATAATGCAACTGATCTCTTTATAATATAATTACAGGTGAACTGCGCAAATACATAGGCAATTTATTTATGTATACATAACTTCCCTAAGTTTCCTAAAATTTAATATGCCTTGCATTAGAAATGCATGTCCCAAAATCCTACATAAAAATTTTCTCTCAACCTTCTATGCTCTTCTTGTTGTACAATGTATTTGTGTACGTGTATGCTCATATCCAATGTCTAATTACTGTACAGGATATCTAGTTGCAAATATAGTAGAATCGGTTGTCCGTGGCGAGGCCCGAATCACGAGATTCCGGAACATGAAAGTCACTGCGTTCATCCTCATCGTACGGGTGCGGATGTGATGGAAGCTTTGCGTGAGATCGATGCCCGTACCTTGGAAGAACGTAGGCTCTATGACAATGTCTTTGATCTTTTGTCCTACGAGAAAATCACGTTCAACGGTCTGTATCAATTCTTGATTATTATATAACGTTAGGCAAAATATATTAAAATAATCTGTAGATTACTAGATAGAAAATGTATTTTTTTCTTAGCAGCAATGGAAACTACAATTGCATAAATAATTTTTTTGTAACACGATATTAATTTTAATTTCTTCATTTATCTTTTTATCTTCTCTTTCTTTTTTAGCTACAGATGCTCGAAGATTTATCAATTATCTGTAAAATTTTATCATTTGTAGATTTACAGATGAAGCCATATCGCACTGATGAATTTATTCATAAACTATTTTACGAAACCTCTCGATTTGGCGCTTTCAACAATCAATGGGTAGTAAAGGCCAGAATCAACAGTAATCAACGCGATCCTACTCAAAGTTCAGAGCGAGACATAACTTACCAAGTACGAAAAACCGTCATGTATAATTTTATAGAAAACTTTAAGTATCATTATTCATATACGTGCGCATGTAGTTAAAAGTAAAAGAGATTATTGAAATAAATCCGATAATGAATAGATATTGCGATCTAAGTATGAAAATATGTTTCGTAGCTGATACTAAAGACAAAAACTACTTATCCGCTACCAGTTTATTACTTGATCTTGAAAGGCCCGTTCGGCGATATGAAGGTCCATCCGAGAATTCACAGATTCGAATTCACCGAACAAGAAAACGAGAGTCCGTATTTTACATTACCTTTACCGGACACGGCGGAGTGCAATAGACTTCTTGCAGCTAAAGCCATCAGTTTTAGGTAAAAATTGATCCTAGAGAAGAGCGCTACTGTAGAGTTACTTTATTACAATATAATACACAATAGAGTGTAACTCATATGTACAGCGTGTAATTTTTCGTTTGCAGACTAATAATGTTCCTGGCGTCTAAGTAGCTTACAACGATGTATCTATTGTCAAGATTTTGTCAAATGGAATTTGTCGATCTTCGACGAGATCTTCTAGACATAATGACAAATAACAATTATAGAGATCACAGAGATTTATAATCGTTTACAGTAGTGAGAGAGAAATATTGATCATGATAATGATAACGAAAAGAGAAGATGCTAATATCACTGTAATGTTTAAAAATACATGTTGAGTATGTTGACAAAGACAAATATGTATAAAATTAATACAATGTGACATATATAAAAAGCACGGTAATATAAGTACTTGAGAAATTAGGTTGAATTGCTTTATATTTCCCTTTTACATCAAACTTTTACATTAAAAAGAAAAAGAACAAACTAAAGATTAGAGAGTAGTTTATGTAGATTATTCTTAAATGATAAATTATTGTATTATTGTACGTACCAATTGTGCTATATCCCAAGGTTAAAAGCTAAATGATCAGTATCTTAGATAATTAATTTACTATACATACCCCTGTCCATGAAGAGCCTATCGTGTTTCTTTTATTTAAATAAATAAAACGCTATTGATGTAAAATTCCGAATAAAAGTTATAATTGTAATAAGACTAAAACTACTTTATTACATCCAATTCACATTAATATAGCATTATGTCGTTTTTATACATCGAAGATCGATATCGAACAAAAAGTAGTGTCTCTATAATTCTTACGGATTTCTAATTTGTGACGCGTGTGGCGTTAGACATTTTTTTCTCTATAATTCTCAATTGCAACTGCCTTTTTATCTTTCTATCCTAAAAAAGAGCTAAATATTAATTATGATAATTCCGCCAAATTGATGAAAGTGTTACTTGTTTTTGAGCCATTTGTATTATTTGGTGGAAAGATTAATGGATTGAGATTGTTTTCGGGTTGGCTGCTACTAGGCCTGCGATATTTCGGCACGACCAATCTGGAATCGGGTTCCGAACAACCGGTTAACCAGTAAGATGTTACCCTACCCTTTCCCTTCAACTCCACCTCTCCTCTGAGCTCAAGATCGAATGTCCCGAACTTGTCCAAGATATTCTTCGTTGCTTTGGAGACGTGTATTCTCAAAGCTGTGAAACAAATTATATAAGTTAAGCTTATATTTAATTTTTATATTTAATTTTCTACATAGAGTTAAAAACTTTAACGGAAAATCTTTCAATTTTTAAAACATTGTGTTTTTTTTTTGTTATTATCTAATATACAGGATTTATTTCTTACGAAGACCGGAGGATTCCATTCGAGATGCCGTGTTCACGGTGTCGCCGAAGAGGCAATAATGCGGCATCTTCTGACCTACCACTCCAGCGCAAACTGGACCACTGTGCACGCCGATCCGTACGCTCAATTGAGTATTTTGTTTGTGCATTATGGTGAACGATCTGACGGCGTCTAATATCGCCAGAGCCATCAGTCCAATCTCTCTCGCATGTTCGTCACCATTTCTTTCTGGAAGACCAGACGCCACCATATACGCGTCTCCTATTGTTTCCACCTGTGAATCAATCTCAAAATCAATTTCAAGATCATTTTTTTTTTCAAAGTCATTTCAGAATTTGTTATTAGAGTTTGGAGATTGACTGACTCTGGCGCAAATGCGTTTCTTTCTTCTAAAATGAATCATTTATGTGTCTTTATAATTTATTTTGTTATATGTCTACCTTATAAACGTCGTAGAATCCAATAATACTGTCGAAGGTACTGTACAAATCATTCAGGAAATCCACGACCTCCATAGGTGTACTCTGCGCACATAGCGCCGTGAAATCAACGATATCGCTGAAATAAATGGTGACACATTCAAACTGCTCCGGTTGTACCATCTCCCCAGCCATTAACTGACCGGCGACTTGTCTTAAAAAAATATTATTATTAAAAAGCAAAAATGACGAGAAATTAGACAAAGCAACGATAAACGCTTTCAATACCTCGGAAGCACCTGATACAGCAATTCCTCACTGCGACGCTTCTCCAAGCTCAATTGTTCGGTCTTCTCCTCGACGAGCGCCTCTAAGTTGTTGGCGTATTGCTCCATTCGTCGTAGCAGATCGTCCATTAAATTCTCGCAATATCCTCTGAAATGTGAATGCAATTTTTTGTAATATATTTGTTTATATATTTTTACATTTACATTTTTTATATTTAAGCGGTATACGAGCGATTCAATCATGGAGAGAGGATAACAAGATAATATAATAATATACATATATTTAAAAGATCAAAGCACGATGTGACATGAATGAGCCGCCATTGCAGTTAATTGAAAATACACTATCGTTCTCCTGATTTGAAATAAAAGTACTTCATGATTCCTCGTATTATGCCACGAATGGTATGGAAGCTGGGTCGTTCGTCAGGAACTTCGTGCCAACATTTCTCCATCAATGAGAGTATATCTGGAGGACAGTCCTTCGGCGTGACTTCTGGTCTCAAAGGAGGATTCTCCGATGCTGATACTCTGTTCACGATCTTCATAGCAAAGACATCAAAATGATAAAGAAATCGCGCTAAAATTACTGTTAAAAAAAAAGAATGAAATGGATCACACCTCTTGCGCCGTCATAAAACTCCTGGTTATTTCATACGGACCACCGCGGACCACTATCTCCTCCAGGATAATTGCGAAACTGTAAACGTCGCCCTTCTGCGTCGCGGCGCTTCCGGGTGTTATCGTTAATGGCAGAAGTTCCGGAGCGATCCAAAGTAATTCTGCAAATAAAGATTCTATTGATATCAACATGTTTAATACAAATAAAGATTCTATTGATGTCAACATGTTTAATACATCATTCATATATTCTTTCTAAATTCTTTAGGATGGAATCTCACCTTAAAGAATAAAAATTGAGTCTTGAAAAAGTAATTTTTAATCTTTAAGAGTGAGATTTCACTCTTCAGAGTGATAATTCACTCTAAAAGTTTTAGAGAATTTAAATCATTATATTTATATTTTTTTGATGCAACTTACTAATGTAATAATTCTCGTCCATAATCAATTCTGAAGGTGTGGTGAGAGTTTTGAGACCGAAATCCGAAATTTTTAATACGAAACGACCGTCGATTAGGCAATTACATGATCGTAATTTTCCATGGGCAGAAACCTCGCTGGCATGAAGATAAGACATTCCCTGTGAGGAAGCAATCTCTTTATCGTTTTCGCTTCATCATACTTATTCATGTACCATTAATTATAACGCTCTATTATAAATCAATGTAATATTAATTAAGATATAATTAAGTTATATAAAAATAATTAAATATGTTGAGATACATTTAATAATTTAACGAAAAACACAACTTCTGCACCTGCATCTACCTTGACGATATCGTGGATCAGGGACATTCGAAAATTCCAATCCAACTTAATTGCCTCATTTTCCAGAACATCCTTCAACGAGCCTCGAGGACAATATTCGGTAAGAATTAAGACAGTCGGTGATGGCGAACAGAGGCAAGCCCCGATAAATCTAGCGAATAATTAAATTTATTAATAAATAGCAAGAAATTGAGTTTAAAGTAGCGATGTTATGTTGAATATTTATACTATCGAAGAAATCTTGTGAATGATTATTCTTTTATTATCTATGAGAAAAAAAAACACGGAAAAATTGTTTCTACTTAAGACAAAATACCTCACGGTGTTTTCCGACGTGACGTCCCTGACCTGTTTGATTTCCCAAAGCAATTTCTTTGTCACGTCGACTACTTTCTTCTTCGTGACCTTCTTGATAGCTACTCTCTCGCCCTTATATATCCCAATAGTGGTAAAAACCGTCGTTGGCGGCAATGATTCGCAACTAATCTGCGAACCGCGACGTATTCTTTGTTCCAATCCGTAATTCTATGATTAAGTAAAAGAATCAGTTAAGTTTTACGATTTATAAATCATATATAATTTTATTTTTACTCTATAATAAATAAAATTAAGTAATCTCTTATTCTGCGCATGTTATATTCATAATTTATCGCTCACGTTTGCATCGGATATCGCTTGGTGTAGATTTATCTTCGATGAGAATTGCTTCCCAACTTCTAGAAGCAATTCCTCAGGTCTCACACGCCAAGACATATTATTGAGATCGGCAGATAATCGCAAATGTCTATGCAAAGAAATTTTTTCACATCGATTAATTTTATATTCTATTATAATTTTATATTCTTCATAAATATTTAACATTAAAAAATTCTATTGTTCTATTGTTATCTCAGGGCTTTTTAATATCAATATCTTTTTTTTACTTCTTTACATATTATTATTCAAAATTCCTGGATTGGGCACACAAATATAAAATTTGATGAATCACGTGAAGCATACCTGTATAATAAACACGCTGCTGTAATCGCAGCTAGTAGAAACACAGCGAGCGCTATGCCTGTGTAAGCTACAAACGTATAAGCTTCTCTTCTTGACGTGCAGTCCGGGTCATTTCCTAAAAAACCACACTCCGGAATATCTAGTGGGGGTCCTTCCCTTCCACCCGGCCAATGGATCTTCTTGCCAGTCATAGGGCTATATTCTCGATTTAATCCTAAATAATGAGCAACCACTTCGAACCTGTAAGATGCCAACATCTTACTTGGCATTTTTATTATTATTATTATTATTATTATTATTATTACTTGGCATTTGTGGTGTTCTTTTTAAAAATGCAACATCAATGATAATTTTATATTAATTGATTCTCTTCTCGGGTCTTTATAGAGTTTTTTCTCTAATGTTAAACAAATTTATCTTTCTTAACAACAAGATAATCTGTGACATTTAATTTAGAAAAAAATTCTAGTTCCTAAACCGTCTAATTGTGAATTTGCAATTTGCGAGATGCATCTTGATAGATATAAATGATAAAATCGCGTGGAACAATGGCATGAATTTTAAGTGACCTTCCAGTAATGGGATCTAAATCAAGAATGCTGTAATCCGCGTCACGATCCCCATTGTCATCTATCCTGACGTGACCTGTAATACCCATGAAATTTCGGTCCCACATTCTTCTCGTTATAGATATGCCGTCTCTTATATCTCCATCTTCGGCCAGGGTCTCGTTCAACGCGATCCCTAACAAGTAAACACCATCGTAAAATGCTCCGACGAAGAAATTCACCTGTGAAAAAAGCAAGAAATTCATTTCATCTGCTTGAATTAATTTTCTTGATTGAATATTGTACCCTTAAATGCTTTGTCTAAAAAAAAATCGCAACTTCATTATGTCCTTAGGATTCTATATTATAGAATTATTATTTTAATAAACTCACTTCTTCGTCATCTAAAAATGAATAATTGTAATTGATTTGTGCACGATGCTTAACATTATCAGCAAAATCTTGAAATCGTGGGCTAGTCGGTTGAAGAAGAGACACCCTCAGTAAAGCCTCGTAAGCCTTCCTGGCAGTGGCATCGTCCTCGTCCCCAACTTCCCAGTCATGATCGCCCCAGTACGAACCCTTAAAATTTATTTAAATTGATTTAACACTGATGAGAAAGTGTCATCCGTGATACTTTTGCTGTTACATTGATGTATGACGGATTTAAAATAGTCTTTTCTCATTTATTATAGCGCCTTACGTGAAATATCTCGACATCGAAAAAAGCCCAATCCCCTTTTGTCATTCCTAATTCGTGAGCGGCCAGCATAAATCTTCTGACGAGCGTTCCGCGAACGCTGAGAATTACAACTGTTCAAAATTATTATTTTTTAAATTGCCGTTAAAAACACAGCGATCTTAGCATCACGATTTTTTCATCGCGCGGAAATATTTTTACATTAAACGTTTCAGAATTTGATTAAAAATATATTACACTTATATGTATTTCTTAACAAAATATAAATTAAAAAATATTAAAAAATTAAAAAATTATCAATTTTTCTACGTTGTATTTAAAAGTAATACAAATGTTTGACGATTTAAAATCTGAATAAAATATATATATATAACATTCATTTTTTTACGGAAAGTTTTCCAATTTTAATCTCTTTTTGTAGAGACTATACACTTAATATATCCTTAATGATGTAAAAGAGAGCTTTAATAATTTAAAAAAAAATTCAAAGTTAATTTAAGTCTTTCAGAGAACACCTTGCAAGCATAAGACAAAAGCGATCACTCACTTCTAGCGTACATGCTCGCGTCGCGCAGGTAAAGATGATACGACTCGTCCTCGGAATTTCCATCTAACTCCCTTACGAATTTTAGAAGTCCGTCCTTATGCAGACCATATTCCAGATTCTTCCCTACCGTCAATGAAAACAAGTCCGATCTGTCCAGTATAAGCGCGACGTGGGACCAACCAAACTTCTTAAACACGCTAGCGAAGACGAGCCGCAATCGGCACTGGCAGTACGACATCCTTGTTAAAGTGGGATACTTGCTTTTGTCTTTAAAAATTCCCTTCGAGAATTAAAAAGATGAAAAATATGTTATGATAAAAAATCCATCCTATGACGAGGAAGAGATCGCGACGAGAAAAAAATCTCGATACTATTTTATTGTGAGATTTTATTTCTACAGTCAAAACAATATACCAAAAATTCATATCAATTATAATTTATGATAATATGTTAGATGTATAAATAATTAAGTAGAATATAGTGGTAATTATTATGAAAAATTTAAAGATGTATAAATAATTAAGTAGAATATAGCGGTAATTATTATGAAAAATTTAAGAAACTTTTGATATCGTTATCATAATTCCGAGCTTAATGAATTTTACGAGGGCTAGAGTAACATGCGGAGAATTTATATTTCTTATACCATTCTTTGTCGTAATTAGCGCGTAGCTAATTAAGATATTAATGATATTGAAATTTAAAAAATAAAATCAAATGAGCTGCAACATTAACTATCATAGATGCTTACACTGGAAAAAGAGTTTGGTTATTAATTGAAATTCTGATTTAAAATGGACAAATTTTGATCGATCAGAATCTTCTGATCTCGTTCATTTTTAACCAGAAATTTTTCTCAGTGAAATAATATTCAATGCAGCAATTAAAGGAACAGAAAGAAAAAAAAAGATTCTAAAAGACTCTTTCGCTTCTTACCGACGTTTCATTCTTCCATTTATGGATCCTTCCAAGGATACCAGATGTGACTGACAGTTCGCCTTCCGAGGGAGGCTTGGTTCGCAAGAAAGCGATAATCACGTTTCACATAAATAAGTATTAACATTGACACAATACAGCAATTCGTTTTAATATCAGAACGTACGATGCGACATCAAAAACGTTAGAAAATAGAGAAAGCAAAATAGAGGATTAATTTAATTTAATACAATTTTACGCAATTTTGTAATTACAATTGTTGGCACAATAGCGTTTCTCTAGTCGAATAGTCTTCAAAGAATAGTCATCGTTGCGAGATTAATGTTAAATGCTGAGTTATGTAAATGCAAAGATTTAAGTTAATTGATTGGACGAAAATGTATACTGGGGCTAGTAATCAAATGTTGACACGTGCATCGGCAGCGCAAAAGTAAGTGCGACTTACTTGATCACCCATACCGGTAATAATTGGACTGTTCCAGTAGGCTGCGAGACGTGCCACAGGTTCCAGGGCGAAGGCGCAGGCCGGTCCAACGAATGCGATCACGTTGTCACGAAAATGCATATCCGCTGCTAAACCGGGTGCTCTCGCCCCGCTGCAGGTCGGATAACTGAAGAATTCGAACATTCGTCGTTGATCATATCTCAAATTTTGCGATTAAAATTAACATAGTAATTAGATCTCGATGTTGTCAAGTACGATGCAAAAGATCTATCATTTTTCCAACAAGTTTTTTTTTATTTAATTATAACATAAAATTATAGCTATTTATTATTTGACGCTTCTCTTATACTTTTAATTGATTTATGACTACTTAACAAAAAATTTTGGATGTATATTAAGGAATTAAATCATTGTAAAGGTTTGAAGAATTTTGTGCACATTCTGAAAAATTATACATGTGTACAATTATAAATGAAATTTTAGATAAGAGAAATCAAATAAAAGAAGAAATTTTATTTTTGATCAAAGCGGATTTTAATTACAGCTTGATAATATTAATGCAAATTTGCAAATACATTTTTTGTAATAAATTCTTTGTAGTGATTTAAGCTGATTAGCATCATTAAATTAATCAATGTAATTTGTGATGTTATTTCCAGTTCCAGTTTATCATTGCGTTTTAAGTACGACAAATTGAATTGAAACGCAGTTTATAGAATTTAAACATGTACTTGCAAATTTGCATATGAATATTAACAAGCAACAACAAGATTTACTTCGATTGAAAAGAGGATTTTTTTCTTACTTAATACGTATTCTATATTTTTTCCTATTATTATATTATGAGTTGTAATTAAGAAATAAATTAAATTAACGAGAACTGTTATCTCAAAACAATGAAATTAACACAGTTTTTTATCAGATTATTTCAAATTTAATATACATTTCAACATTTAATATATATTCTCCATCTCATGGAGTGAATTTTTGAACATTTAGCTTTTTATTGATAAAATAAAAAATCATTTTTCCTATGAAATTTTATTCTCGCAAAGTGAAAGTGTATTATTTTCAGAGATATTATTTCATTTTTCGAAAATACAACATAACTTTAATATTTTTTAAATATATTTACAAGATGCATAATATATTTACAAGTTGTTAATAATATAATTTTAAAACATGAAAATACTCATTTCTTTAGCTAAATAAAAACTATGTGCTTATCTTTCAATAACGATCCAATTTTCGTTAATAGAAATGTATAATCCTGCATTGATATGGAAATATATGCATGCATGGGTAATATCAATCTGTGAAAACGCACAAAGTGGACGTATATGATGGATCGTATATATCATATATTAAAACGCAAACATAATACGATTGGATTACTGGGGGTGGATGCGACAGGGATTCGCTTGGATACATATTTTCCCGCTCTCTTGTGCAGTTACACGTGACGTACATACAGTATCCGCTGGTATCCGCGTCCTTGAGGAGCGAAATGCGCATTTCGGTGTGAATATTCTGTATACGCGCGTACGCGCAATTAGCGACGAATAGCAACAATAATCACGATGCATTCGACACGCCGGGATAGCGACGCATTGCGCGAGCAACAGCTCGAGATAATGGCGCATTAATTGTACCCGATGAATGGCCAATGATTGAATTCCCATCGATCTGCGCTAATTGAAAATGTCGGGAATGTGGCGCGGCGAGTAGAAATGTCGCGGTCCTGCTGCACCTCCCGTAAATGTTTGCAATGACAATGCAGATTGGGGAATTTTAATTTGCGAGAAAAGAATTTAATTATTGCGTCGCGATCGTCGTATACGAAATGTTATCGTCAATCAAAATAAATGTTGGGATTTTTGTCGGAGGTTAATTCTTTACTGAAATCATGTTTACAACGGAAAAAATTTTCTTTTAAAATTTATCCTGAAAATATAGTAGTTGTGATACAATATTTTAAAGATTTTTACCATGTACAATAAAATTAATCAAATTTATTTTATACTTTATTGTAGTTTTATTAATGAATAAAAGAGATTTACATTAAAATTTTTCGAAATACAATGTTGTCCCACGACTGTCATATTTTCGGGGTAAAAAAAAATTCTAAAAAAAAATTCTCTCCGTGTATAAAGATTATGGCACATAAAAAATTTAAGCAATAATATGTAAATAATAAGCAAATAAATATTTCAGATTTGCTACTGTTTACGCTTACTGATGCCTTACTTTTTTGCGTAATCTTAAATAGCATAAAGCGCTTACAAAGAGTTAAAAAAGTATTTAAGCGTTTTTTTTTAGCACTTTGCAGGCGCTACTGTGCTACTTGGAAATTCTCGTATAACAGATGATAATTGTCAATGAATTAGAATGTTCGGGGATTAATTTATTAAAAGAATGACTGTTTTACATTGTAGTTAATTAAACGCCGTTGTAAAAGCGCGACATTTCGATGTCATTATTGAAATAGTAATTATAACATGATTATAATGTTTAATTCACGAGCAACAGATGATATATGATTGTAAATAGATTGTTGGAATTTTTGTAGAAAATTAATAATTAACCTACAGAGAGCAAAGAATTGTTTTTAAAATCTTACAGTTTTTTCTTGAGTGAAATTTGTTATAATTCATTATTTCATTATTCCTTTCCCTAAGATATGGCATTATTAATTATTTTTACGCTATAATAGTGGCTTTTTTGTCCTGTAAAGGTTAAAAGAATGGTCGTTTTACATTGCAATTAAATATCCTTATAAAGACGCGATTCTTTGATATTAGAAATGGTGAGTATATGAATATCTATTGAATGTAGATTAACACGTGTAATCCTCATTCACTAGACGATATATAATTGCCAATAAATTGTTGTAATTTTTACGAATTTTTTAGTTCATTAGATTTTTCAAAGAACGATTGTGTTTTTTACACTTAATAAAGATACTTACATTGTATAGCATAGTAAATATATACTAATTATACTAACATTATAGCAGTAGTAATTATAATTATAATATATGTAATTAAAGTTATAAATCCCAAAAATTTTCTTCTCAGTGAACAACATGTGTAATTCATGTTGTTCACTGAGAGGAAAATTTTTATATAATAAATAATAAATAATATATAGATAAATATCAATAAATTGTTAAAATTTTTATTGAAAATTAATTCATTAGAAGACTAATAATTTTACGTTACAGTTAATTAAATGCCATTATAAAGATATTTATATATCGCGGTATTTCGATGCCGTTGCTGAAATAGTGATTACAATCATGTGTAATTCCCGCGCAACAGATGATATTACGTAGACTTAAGCGCTACATACTCTGTATGCACGTGAATACATTTTTTATATGATGTTTATATAGAGAGAAATGGATGATCGGTATAACAAGTGTCGCATAATTAATGCGATAAATATAAAAAATAATTTTCACTCGTAGATAATTCATCGTTCTTCTTTCCCGCTGACCTCGAGAGGATTGAACAGTTGTATGGTCAATCTCGTGCGTCTTTTCATGCAAATGCTTGTTCAATTGTATCAATGTAATGACGCAAAAGAGGTGAGCAGCGAAACGGATTATAACGCATGAAATATAACGAGACGACTGAAACGAGATATAATATATCACAATGCAGAAAATAATGACATTTTATATTACGTTTTATCTAATGTAATGAATGTTTTTTTTATTTCTTTCTTTTATTTACGTCGACATTATATGTGACTATTTCTAAACTTGATTTCATCAAATATTTTTATATTTTTTTCCTGATTCTTCTTCGACTGTATTTTTTTCTCTGACGATGTCAACGATAAAACAGCAGAAAATATAAAATCGTAGCCAAATAAAAATGGCAGGACCACGTATTACGAATAAACGGTTGATTAAAGGAAAAATGTTTCATAAGAGAAAATTACGACGAGACACCTTTATGCGTCTTTCATTCGATACATTTTTTGTTATCATGCAATTAGGAAATTATAGACATCGGGATTTTTAAATTAATTCGATAAGTGAATTTGATAATTTGATAATTGTCTTTGTTGTTTTTTCAGCTTTGCTTGATACAGCGTCTGAAATAAAGGATGATCTTCCTCCTTTTGTTTTCCGATAACAATTTATATTACGTTTACACGGGCACTCAATTTATGTCGAAGTTTAATATCGATGTTATAACTTCGACATAAATCGAGCCAAGTAAACGTGTAATCAATATTGGACATAAAGTTATTGTATACCTTCCTTGGACTTTGCGCAGCTGCACGTTGTGAACTTTCAGGAATTCGTTCACTTCTTCCAAAGCCAGATCGACAGCTGGACCACATCGCTCAAGATCAAACGGACTGTCAAGATGGGATGCCATAAGTACGCCCACGTTATACACCCGCAAAAGATTTCCGTAATCCACTGCGAAGTGGATCAAAAGACGTGAATTCGTCTAGTCGCGAATATCGACAACCATTCAAACACTTAATTAAAAGTAATGCTTTTTGAATGAGGGTTTGAAATTGAAGACGAATGTAACGGAGAATAATACCTTCTTGTCTTTATGATATTTATACAAGAGATCTACTTTAAAAGTCCCTGCAAATTTATTTCAAAGTTGCTCATAGATCATCAAGATATCCGTTGAAATAAAATGCTACAATATTTTAGAAATATATTAGATATATTTTTTATAGGCGCTTAAATTAAATTAAATATTCTGTAAATCAAACAATGGAAGTTTTGTAATTAAAAAGTTACCACTGTTGGAATAACTTAAGACTCGAATTTTTTGCAAATTGAAATGAGGCCAAGACGTCAATTCGCGCGATTACGCATCAAAAATATCATTGAAGTGTCGCTATTCGTTGGAGAAATCACATAGAAAATACATTCGTTTTATTCATACGCACGATTACACACAGGGCATCAGAAAAACAAGAGGAGACATAGAATACTGAAACTACAAGCCATGCATATCCAATGAGCTTATTCCCGCCATCGGGATAGAAATTTCGAAAGAACACATCGATAAAATTGTGCAAAATACTCTTAACAAATGCGTTTATTAAATGGATAAAATATTGATATACAGGTTGTATATTGAAATGTTTATCAGCACTTTTGAATAATACGTTGGTAAACTTTTGATAAAAGAAAATCGATGGACATGAATGTTTTTCAAAAAATAAAATCTTGCCAGTGGAATGCATATTTTTTGAAGTGAACCTCATTTAAATAATAGATTGTCATAATTCGTTAATATTTATAAGCATTTTAATTGCACTTGAGTAATTTTTTTCTAAGAAAAATTATCCTTTTCTTTTCTGTTACAGTATATTGGAATAGTAACAAAAAAATAGCGCAAACATAAATTAAAACAAAATTGTTATACTATAATTATTTATTGTCTATATAATTATTATATAAAAAAGATGTCCAAGCGCATCGAATTTCTCGTCTTAAGTTAAATAAAATTAACTAAATAAAAATTGCAAATTTCAGAAAAGTTTGCGCAGTAACAAAGTACATAGTATCCCGATGAAAAATATCTTTGTGAATGAACAAACATCTTACCGCGCGGTACACTCACGAGCCACGATACTTGCGAAGCAACAACAATCGACAGCACGAATAACCTCAGCTTCGTGAACATAACGATGAAAAATTCTATAAAATCGCGGGGAGAGAAGAAGAGATGATTTGCACACGTGAATGATGGTGCGTGTGTCAAGTTGAAAATAAAAAAAGAAAATGGAAAAGAGATCACACGTCGGACCGCCCGTTGAGCCACATCTAAACTTTCGCGAGGAAGGATTCAGCCTTATATAGGGGTTGATACAGTCCCACGGAGCCATGGCAATGCGCAATCCAAACGCGCCCCTCGGAGGCATCTGCGAATGGAAAAAAAAGAAAGAGAAAAAAATGTTATTACGTGCATTAATTACAACTTCGTACAGATATAAATTACGGGATGAAAATAAATAAATTCTCTCAATTCTCGAATTTTATTCCCCGACGCTTTTCGCAGCCGTGAAGGGCAAGGGATTCGCAGCAATCGATTGTACAGCAATCAAGACTTCCTCTCAACCGATTTCCTCTCAAACAAAAGAAAAATGCCTTACAGTTTTTTCCAGATCTCTCTAGTGAACACGTGTGAAAGGATCTCGTGTCAATTCTCGTGAAAATAAATGAGGCGAATCCGAGTCTCGCTTCCAACTCCTGACGGCAATTTTATTGTACCGATTGCACTCATGGTGTGGCGGATCGTAACAAAATTACCTGTTTCTTTATAAACCATGTCCGCAATATTCATAGTTGATTCTTATTTTAAGATCGTCTTAAGTATGTCTTAAAATACTAATGCGACTTTCTAATTAGTTCATGATATTTTAATTAAGACTATTTTAGACAATCTTATAAATATAAGAATCGATTATAAATACTAGCCGTAGATTTCTTGACTCAAATGCGATTTTTTTCTTATAAATGCAACTGCATGATCCAAGGTATATCGAAGGCAATTCTCGTTAGATCTAAAGCATTTTGTACGCGTACGCGTGTCTGGGAAATTCAAGACGCGAATCCGTGTCGAAATGCATCGATTTGAGATAGCGGTGGCTTCGCACGAGCCTTTCAGCAGAATGAAGTTGCATTATGGCGTGAGTCTGCGTTAAACCCCGAGGGATTTTCAGGATGTAGTGGTACTTCTATATATATATATATATAT